AAAGGGTCCCTTGTGTGTTCAGTTAAAGAAAGGGACCTTGTTTGGAATATTTTGATGACCCTGTAAGTTGCCTTTATATATGTTGTGGAGTGTGTGTGTGTGCTGGAATGGCTGCAACAGCACCATTGCTTGTTTGCTGGGCTGTTAAACTCTAGAGACCAGACCACCTTAAGCTTCTCTGCCCCTGGGCATTGGCGCTTTGCCAGTCAACATAAATATCCAGTGAATATAAAATAAATCAGTAATAGGTGTTTCACTGGACTCAGCCAGTGAAACACCAGGTGCAACCCAGGAGTCAAACGCAACATGAGTAGGGCCACTGAATCAATGGAACTTTTTAAGTTAAGGCAGTTGTTAATGTTTACCTGTTTCTGATTATTCCATTGTATTTTAATTAGTGTGCCCTGTAATTGTGTGTTTTTTTTTTAAATTGTTTTACTTAGTATACGTTTAATTCTATTCTTTTAATATTGCGAGCCACTTTGGGTCCCCTTATTGGGAGAAAGGCAGCCTATAAATAAATAAAACAAACAAACACATAAAACAAACAAAATTAGGGAGCAGCTGACTCACCATATCCCCACGGCCATGTAAAGATGTGCCACTGGAGACCAAGGCCAAGATGATTGATAATATGGTTTTCCTGATTTCTATGCATAGATATGAAAGTTAAACAGTGAAAAAAAAATCTGTTCATTCCAAATGAGGTGTACCAGGTGAGCTTCATGAATACCACAGACTACCAGGAGAATATATAAGAGGGTGTTAGACCCACTGAGGCCTATCACACAGTAGACAATCACACCTCAGGTGCATTGTGAGAAGACAAGACTTCTTAGAAGAGATATTGACAATGCAGCTTTTTTGACCATGTCAGAAGCAATCTGAAGGTGCTTCCGGGGTGAAAAGATGAGCTGGCAGGATGGTGTCCTTGCCCAAGGGGTGGGGTACCCAAATGTATTCACTATCCTCACATTCCTTAGCGAGGCTCCTTTCCTGTCCCCCACAACAATGCCTGGAAAAGACCCTAATGTTGGGAAAATGTGAAGGCAAGAGGAGAAGGGGACGTCAGAGGATGAGATGGTTGGACAGTCATCGAAGCGACCAACATGACTTTGACCCAACTCCGGGAGGCAGTGGAAGATAGGAGGGCCTGGCGTGCTCTGGTCAATGGGGTCACAAAGAGTCGGACACAACTTAACAACTAAACAACAATGCAATTAAAATAATAATAATCACATGAATATTATGTTTAAAACAAATCCTTTTTCCCTGGCCTTACCCATGAGTGCCCTTGAGAGGGGGCAGATAAAGCCCCCATCTCCCCCCCCCAAAAAAAAACCTTTTAGCTGGTCTTTTCAGCATCCTTTGGGCCCAGGAGAGAGACCAGGGGCTGGCTTTGCCTTGCGCTTTGCAACGGGTCCAAAGCATTGCGATCTGACTTGCCACCCTCTTTCCTGCGCCGGCCCTGGAGGAAGTTTCACTAACACACAGACACCCACACAAACTCACAGGTGGGTGAGCGGAGTAGTTTTCCGAGTCAGCCACCAGGTGGAGCCATGCCACAGCGCCTGGTCATGAGAAGTCATCCGTGGCAAGTGAATCGGGTGGAAAGCGTGGCCCAAGTTAAGACCTGCAAGCATTGCTAGAAGGATCGGGTCCTTCCGGCTGGAAAAAGGCTTGGGGTGGCCTCTTCTGCAAATGAGTGCCCTGGAGGCGTCTGAAGAGGTCTTCAGGATCAAGCGAAGATGTCTTCTGCACCCACGCCGGCGGCCACGGGCTCACCAAAGACCTCCCGTGGGAGAGAGTGGAGCCTTTCTCTGGTGGCTTGGAAGCTGGTTGAAGAGCCAGAAGGGGAAAGCAGGAGTCCGAGGATAGTTCTCACCCGAGGGGTGGGAGCGGAGCAGCAGAAGGACCCTTTGGGGTCTGTATTGGGGTGGGTCCTTCTAAATTTTTTCCTCATTCACCTGGAATTCAGGGGTGGGCCGTGAAGTGGCCACGTTGGCTGAGGGTGGCCAACTGGTCCAGGATGAGTAGGGCAAAAAAAAGGGGGGAGGGCTGCAAACAGCGCAAAAATCATATTTCCTACAGATATTAAAATGGGGCAAAAAAAGGGGGGGAGGGCTGCAAACAGTGCAAAAATCATATTTCCAACAGATATTAAAATGGCAAAATGCAGTGTTTCACCCACTCTTTCTCCCCCGCTCCATATGTCTGACGAAGTGGACTTGTCCACGAAAGCTCACATTAAAATATAGTAGTTAGTCATGCCATTCCCCCCCCCCCTTTGTCTTTTTTCCTTGGATTTTATACCAAAGCGAGTAAAGCCATCACCGGAGAGGTACCCAAAGCTACCTATCAGGAAGGCCGGCCCTTCCGTGAGGCAGAGGGAGGCGGCTGCCTCCGTCGGCAGATACCGGAGGGCGGTGGCAACCGCCACGGCTGCCACATCAAAATGCCATAGAAGCCTAGAGATTTCAGATGAAAAGCAGGAAGATAGGAGCTTTGCACTGGAGCATTTTCCTGCCTTTTGGCTCTTCAGGGACTGGGGCTTCCCCCCCCCCCAATCGGATCCTGCTTACGGTTCCTGATCCACCTCAGGCATAGCAGGGAGTCATCAGGGCGACCCACGGAGGCCCTTCCCTGGCTGGGCCTTTGGCCCTCGAGCATCCTTCCTCAACTGCTTTGGGGGGCCAGGGGCATTCAGTGGGGTAACACTGGCAACCCCCCAAAAAACCCCACCCTTCAGGGGCTGCCACTGCTTCCCGCATGAAATGGTGCAGACGGTCAGGTGCGTTTCCACTTCTCTTGCTGATGAAGGGGCTGGAGGTCCCGCAGGCTGAGAAACCGGCCACCTTCCTTGGCTCCTGCTGGGGATTTGAGGGTGGCTGGCCATTTGCTCAGCTTCTTCTTCCTCCTCCTCATCCTCTCAAAGGGTGGCAGACTGCTTCTGTTCTCTCTCCCTGCTCCAGCTGCCTCCAGAGCCCCCACCCTCCTGGCTGGCCATTAAGCAAAGCAGGCCGGGCAGCATGTAAAGCACCCAGAAAGCAGCCAGGCAAATGGGAATGCCACCCCCCCCACCCCACAGCCCCTGCAGATCCTCCAGGAGAAGCAGCACCTGAGGGATCCGGCACTGGGAGAGGACCCTTGGCGGGGCCACCCAGCCCACCAGCCCGACGGTGGGGGCTGCGTCCCTCCCCAAGGAATCCTGCCAGACACACACACACACCCAGAACCATGTCAGCAGCCTGGGTGGTTGCCGCTGCTCTCCTGCTGGTCAGCCCTGGCAGGGGTGCCCACACCTCGTGCCCATCGCTCTTCCACCTCCCCGGGGACCTCATGATCGAGGGACTCTTCCCGGTCCACAGCAACAGCACAGGGAGGAACCGGAGCATGGGGCAGCTGCCCGTCTGCCGCGGGTGAGTCAGTCCGTGGGGGCACGCTCTGCCCGTCCCCCTGGGGCTTTGGGGTGAGGAGGGGTGTTGCTTTCTATGGGCATGTGCTGAAAGGGGGGGCAGTGGAGAAGCAGGGGGCCACCACTCATCAGCCCCTGCAGGGGTTCCTCTGGGACCGTCCTGGAGGAAGGGATCATGCAAAGAACACAAGATGGGGCAAGTCAGGGTGGGGGTGGGGGGGGAGAATGGGGCTGCTTTTGGAACCTCCTCCCCAGAGAGACTTGTATGATGCAACCCTTAGGGTCATCCGGGCACCAGGCCCACCCCACATTTTAGCAACAATTTAGGTTCTCAGACCATGTTGCTCCGCTGTGTGTTTTTCTGCGCTTTTGCTGTCGGATTCTTGCACTTGTGTATTGTCTGTCTCTGCCTGCCTGCCTGTCTCTATCTATCTCTCTATCTACCTTCTTTTCTAACCCATCCATCCATCCATCCATCCATCCATCCATCCATCCATCCATCCATCCATCCATCCATCCATCCATCCATCCATCCATCCATCCATCTATCTATCTATCTATCTATCTATCTATCTATCTATCTATCTATCTATCTATCTATCTATCTATCTATCTATCTATCTATCTATCTATCTATCTATCTATCTATCTCTTCCTTCAATTCCCTCCCGGGCCCCCTTGACAGCTTCTGGTTTCCATGATCCAAAGGGACCCTTCTAGTTCTGCCATTCCAAGATGATAATCCAAGATGATAATGATGATGATGATTGCATGTTCTCTTTGGGTTTTCTGTCACCATTCTCCCTCCACTCGATGGTAAGTGGACCTGGAGGACAGTCTAAACCGGTTGTTTTTCTCACCAACATGTTTTTTGGGGGTTCTGACAAAACGTAGACTTCCCCAAAAGGCGTGTGAGCGCCCGGGGGGGATGCAGTTTCCATGATGGGACACGTTTCTCAGCGTGGCTTTGTTCTCCCTTCCCGCAGACTCAATTCTTGGGGCTACTCTCAGTTCCAAGCCATGAGGTTGGCTGTGGAGGAAATAAACAATTCTTCCCACCTGCTGCCCAACGTCACCTTGGGGTACCACATCTGGGACACCTGCGAAGAAAGCCTTTATCTCCAGGCGGTTCTTCAGCTGGATCCGGACGGGGAGCACAACTCTCGAGCCGGTTATTCCGACCGAGTCGTTGCCGTGGTTGGCCCCGACACCACCGACATGACGCACCTGTTGTCCAGAATCCTCACCTTCTACCAGTTCCTGCAGGTGAGTTATTTGTGCCTTGTTATTAGCGCAGCCGCGTCGGCTGAACTCCCAGGGCCCGACGTAAGACTTCCAACGGGATGCGGTCTCAGCGAGAATGGGGACATAAATGATCCCGCATTTCCTCTGCGTTGAACAAACCGGCCCAGGAAAGCTGTCGAGCAAACCTGGCCCTGTGAACAGCCTTCCCCATCAGTAACGCCAAAGAACAAGGTGGCACCTTCACATGATCAAGTTCTGAGCTCAAGTCAACGGACGTATCTCACTTGCTTAACCCTTTCTTCTCCGCCACATTTTCATTGCATCACCGGCTGAGGCAGCGCGCAGAGTAAAATCCACCCAACAAAACATATGAATACAGTGGACCCTTGACTTACGGAATTAATCCGTATTGGAACGGTGGCTGCAAGTCAAAAAGTCTGTAGGTCGAGTCTCCATTCACCTACAATGCATTGAAAACCGATTAATCCCATAACTGGCCGTTTTTGTTCCATTTTTGTTCCATTTCGGGGTTTTTTCTGGTCTGTAGGTCGATTCTCTGGCTGCAAGTCGACCCTAAATTTTGCAGCCAGAGAAGTCTGTAACTCGAAAAGTCTGCAAGTCGAGCCGTCTGTAAGTCGAGGGTCCACTGTAATAGCTTCGAAAATGTCACCGTTAGGAGCCATAATTGTAGACTTTAAAATATTGTGCTTATCGAAATCGTTCTGAAAGCAGCTCTGGAGGTTCCCTCTTTGGGCTGGCAACCCACCCCCACCCCACCCTAGAAGGCCTTGCTTTCAGTCCCTGTCAGTCTCGCCACTCTGGGTGGTGGGTTGAGGAGTAGGTGTCCTCAGGGACCCGAAATAAAGGATGCTTTCTGCTCATTGAACCCAGATCTTTATAGAGGACTCCTGGGGCAAAAGCGGTCATCTTTTAAAAAATTCAAGGTCCCCTTTAACCCCCGTTGGCCTCTCTTCCCTTCCAGATCAGCTACAACGCCAAAGATCAGATCTTCACAGACAAGAGGCAGTTCCCGCTGCTCTTCCGCATGGTGCCCAATGAGAACCACCAAACACGTGGGCTCCTCTCTCTGGTCCAACAGCTGGGCTGGAAGTGGGTCTCGGCCGTGGGCCATGGCACCCAGGCCAGCCAGACGTCGCTCCAGATGCTGATCTCCGAGGCCAGGGCCCAGGGCATCTGTGTTTCTTACCAAGGGCTATTGGCCAACAGGGACTGGACCTTGGTTTCCAGGGAACAGCTGAAGAAGGTGATCGAGAACATAGAGAGGACCAAGACCAACGTCACCCTCCTGCTGGTCGACAACAGTGTCGCTCAGAGTTTCTTCCGCGTCGTCGTCGAGCTGAAGGTCACCCGGAAAATCTGGATCGCGCCCGAGACGTGGGTCTTATCTGAGGAGGTCAGCAACCTGCCAGGCATAGAGACCGTCGGCACTATCCTTGGACTGACCATCAAGCCCGTCATCCTGCCTGAATTCTTACCTTTTGTGAAGAAAACGCTGCGCTGCAACCCCTGGAATGGCCTTTCCCCTTCTGAACAGCAGGCTCTGAAGAACGTAGGGGGCTGCTACCAGTTCTGTAGCGACTGCCACTCCCTCTCCCTGGAGATCCTGGAGGACGTGCTGAACTCCCGCATCTGGCACTGGTCCTTCTACTCCTACGCCGCCATCTATGCTTTGGCCCAGGCTCTCCACCAGCTCCTGGGCTGTGACCATGAAAGCTGTCCTACAAAGGAGGTGCTCACACCTTGGCAGGTACCGTATTTTTCCATGCATAAGACTATACTTTTGTCTAAAATCTTTAGACTAAAAATTGAGGGTCGTCTTATATATGGAAGTAAACTGAGAAGAGAACAAAAACAAGCAGGGATCAAAGCGATCCTGCAGCGCTTTGATTCCTTTCCCCCTATACAGGACAGACCTCTGGTTCCAGGGCCACCAAGAACAGGTCTCCATTGGGAGGTTCCTCCTCCACGGGAGGGCTGGCCAGATGAAGACAGAAGATGCTGATCCATCACCCTGCCAAGTGGGATTTTGGGAATAGGGGGGCTGGCCCACACATGGTAGCCACACTGGGCTACCAAAGAGGCCAGGGTGGCACTCCCTCCAAGCAGGGCCATCAGTTAGTATCTCCACCATGTTTGTCTCTGCCCAGCCAAGCTGCCTTTTGCCCACCCCATCCCAGTAACCCCTTTCTGAAAAAAGACAGCTCTTGTCTTTTCCATCCTTGCTTTGTTGAAGGGAGCTACATTGGGCAAGAATTTGGTCTAAAAAGCAGGTCCGAAATAAAAACAACCGGATGCGCAACTTAGCTCTCTTGGCCCGACGACTCAATGTAGCCCCTTTTCTGAGATTGCTGTCTTTTTAGCATCTACAGGATGGGAAGGCTGGTCTTTTTCAGGAGGAGTTGAGTGTTTTTTTGCTGCAGCCAGTGAAGTTTTTTTAAACATTTGGAAAGGAGTCCTCTTTTCATCCTAATTGCCTTCTGGCCTGCTCTTCCCCTTGGCAAATACCATATTTTTCCGTGTATAAGACACCCCCATGTATAAGACGCGCCCCCACTTTTCTAATCCAAAATTAAGAAATTTAATTGGGGCTTAGCAAGTGTAGGGGGAAAGGGATCAGCTTACTTCTGTATATAAGACAACCCTCAAATTTTAGTCTAAAGATTTTAGACAAAAGTATAGTCTTATACATGGAAAAATACATTAACAGAGAGGGATCTCCCCCCTCCCTCCATCCCTCTCTCTCTTATTTCATTTCAGCTTTATGAGATCCTGGCCCAGGTGGACTTTTCCCTGCAGAACAACACCATCAAGTTCAGCAACCAGACCGACCTTTTCCTCGGCTATAACGTGATCACCTGGAACTGGGTGAACGGTTCCCTGGACCACAAGACCATCGGCAACTACAGTGCTCAGAGCCTGATCATCGACCAGAGTAAAATCAAGTGGCCAACTCCAGACGGCCTGGTGAGCTTTCGTGCAAGGGATTCGCTTCTGACTGAGATGGCAGATTTGGGGAAGAGCTGGTTTTGGCGTGGGGGCACCTTGAGCCACGTCCGCTTGACTTGCACGGGGGCAGGTGGTGGTGGTTTCAACTGCTGTCTGTTTGGTATTTGGGTCTCTCAATCCAAACTGGTGCCCACCCCTTCCACTGGCCTTGCTCCAAGAGCAAGCTATTTTATTTATTTGCTTGCTTATTTCTTTATTTTAATAATTTATTAGAATGAGAATTTAGAATTATAATTAATTTTCTAGAATTAGTATTCTAATGCATAACTAAGCAAACAAATAATTTTGGTTGGTTGGTTGGTTGGTTGGTTGGTTGGTTGGTTGGTTGGTTGGTTGGTTGGTTGGTTGGTTGGTTGGTTGGTTGGTTGGTTGGTTGGTTGGTTGGTTGGTTG